GGCTGCAGAGGCTAGCAGGCATTCACGGTTTAACTCCCTTTCCTCCGAGCTGTCTGTGTTTGTGCTCCACACCAACAGCTACATTGACACCTAAATGCCAGAGCTCTACTGAAGAAAACCCACTCGGTTTTTTTGACTCCGCTGCCCCCTCTGTGAATGTTACCTCAGCGACGCAGCGCTCTTGTCGCACATTATCTCCTCAGGGATTACAGCAGCACTCCAAGCTGGAGAGCCGTCCCTCTCATTTTACCTCTTCAGACTGCTGTAATTCACCTGCTTTCTGCTCTGAGAGCTCCACGCCGCCCATCGTTATGAGTGTGTGTGTCACAGCGAGTCCTGTGGAGATAAAAACTGTGGAGGAGCTTCAGAGTTCTCTGATTGTTAAGTGACTGGATAGCATTTAAATCCGGAGGTAAGTGTGTCAGCCTGCAGATCTGCGAGTCCCAGTGCGTTGATTTTAAGTTTATTTAGTGCTTGTCTGTGAAGCACCATGAATAAAGATTTCTGAGAATCTCGGAAAATGACATGTTGATTCTCATCATGCAGGAAAAAGGTTTAACGCATCTTTAAACAGTCTTGCCTTCATCAGTCCGCAGTCAGACAGATTGATTACTGAGGTTAGCAATTAGAGTATACTGCTACTCTCCCAGTGGGCGGCCAGCAACGAAGATTAAACACCTCAGCTAGCTCTCAGACTACTTGTCTGAAAGGCTACTGAGGAATTGGTAGCTGCTAGGAGACTGAAATCCCCTCATGTTAACATTCATGAGCCCAAAATCAGGAGTCAAATCTGAATTTCAGCTGAAATCCTATAAATTCACTGCTTGTTTGCCTACCCTGATTAGGCAAGAACAAAAATCCTGTTTTAAATTAAATGCTAAGTGCTGATGTACTCGGGTACATGAACTTCATCCAGATTTTTGATCACCTGGCCTTTCTTGCTCCACGTATGAAACAGGTACATGAAGATGTTTCTGCTGTTGTAAAAGTCACAAATATCCACCGTCTTAGAAACTTGTTGGGAGGTGATGAGAATCAGCTTTTCTCCCTTGGATGATGAGTCAGATGTAGGAATGTTCAACACTGGCTTTTGCTCTGATGTTCGATGTACCGATACGGTCTAGCCCAGCGGTTCCCAACCTTTTTCCTTGTGGAACCCCCTTTCCATGTCCAAAACAAACCAAGAGCCCCAACCACAACCTCCACCCCCAAACACACATTAAAAGTGATTAATTAAAAACTTTATACGGACCTATAGTTAAAACTGTGATTCAGAACTTTGACTTTACAATTGGGTGTGTTATTGAGATTTTATGAATGTAATTATTACAAATACAATCTTGGAAACCTCATAACCTCAGCACAGACAAAGTTGTGATGAGCCCCTGCATTGTTGAAGAGACTTACTTGGGGGGCACTGACCCCAGGTTGGGAACCACTTGCCAAACTATAATTTCTGATACCAACATCTGTGGATCCCCCCTCATAAAAATAAACACAATTAAGCCTAAAATAATTTTTGATAACTGATGCCACACATCTATCATGCATTTTTAAACATTATTATGTCAACCTCTTAAATTAAAGAAGGGCCAAGTGTGTCAAACAAACAAAAGTACTAAAAAAACTAAACCTCTGAACATTTTTAATGAGAGAATCTGAAGAGGTCATTGTCTAATATGTGCATGGTATGTAAAAGTCGTCAGTAAAAGAGGAAAACCGATCCTGATATTTTTCTATTTTACTTTTTAACCATCCCACTGTCCTAATGGGTGACCCTGTGAGGAAAGTTGACCATTGAGCAGGGTTGATGGTTTATCCCTTGAGGTCCATGTGGCAGGGGTGAGGAGTGAGCACCACCTCACCCCTGCCACATGGACCTCAAGGGGTAAACCATCAATCCTGCTCAATGGTCAACTTTCCTCACAGGGTCACCCATTAGGACAGCGGGAGGGTTAAGACTAATATTGGCCGATCATGATATGAATAATATGGGACATACCTAGCTACATGGCTAACCCTCTTGCTTATAATACAAAAACCAATCTGACCAATGACAGCTACCATTTGCTTCCTTAGCGATAACAGATCTAGGAAAATTCCATTTGGATGGCAAAACAAGCTCTTTAGACGACAATGATATGATTAATTTCACCACAAACATTCATAAATACAATTAGGACATTTTTATAATGTGTGAGAATATTAATCCCTGATGGACCCCCAGTTATTGGAATTACCAGATACTGAATTCATAAATTTCCCATAGAACCCCACACGAAAAAGCCGAAACTAGAGCCTTAAACATTTCCATGAATGTTATTCTGGGAAGGATTACTCAGAAAACACATGCAGGTGCCAGATGAACAAGTGAGATGAAAATGTCCAAGAGATAAATAACCAACCAAACATTTGCCAAAAGCTGATTAAAATGTGACGTAACTGAAGCATTAAGCAGACATGGAGGCTTGAATGAAGACTTGTTGGGATGAAGAGCGCGCTGACGACAGAAGTCAGAGAGTTGATAGTCAGACTGAAGCACGAATCGTTCTAACTGGCTCTTGTCTCCGGGCTGGAGAACCGCATTCATTACCTAGCCTGGCGTGCCAGACTCGTCCTCTGTTTAATTCTGCACGGAGAAAGAGTCTAGTAACTCACAGGCAGAGAGGCACTTGAGAGCAGGACTAGGCAGTTCAAAGTAACCAATCAGAAAAAAGACGGAAATGCCGACTGTACCGCGCAATGCTGTAGTTTTCTAGCTGTAGTAAAAAAAAGGCGTCTGGCAATGCCGCAAACATCTTTTATTATTTTTTTTTAGAAGAAATGCTTTTTGCGCTTCTACTCACGGTTTTAAAGACATTAGAGTCATTTAGAACAGAGGAAAGAGCCGCAGCGAACCCTGCCGCTGTCTTTGTTGTTTATGAGAAACTGACTGTTGCTGTGTGTGACGTTCACGATGACTTTTTTAGCTGTAGTGAAAAATGGAGTCTGGCGACGGGGCAAATATCTTTCTTTAGAAACAAGGCTTTTAGCACTTCTAATTGTTGTTGTTTTAAAGACATGTCCAAGTCATTTAGACCAGAGGAAAGAGACGCTGCGAACTCCGCTTCAGTCATCATGTTCGACAAACACGGCGTTATGGTGTGTCGTGTACGCTACTCAGTGCTGATTGGCTCGGTTAGAAATCTCACTGGATGGGGTTCTTTGAATAGGAGAGTTCCCAGACTCTTCCTTTGTGCAGAATTAAACAGAGGATGAGTCAGGCAGGCCAGGCTATCCATTACCAAATGTGTCACATCAAAACAGTGTTAGCTTGTTTTTAGTGTGAACGTAAAACATGAGAGAAAACCGAATATCAACAGAGCCGATGATGATATATTAACAGATTAATGCATGGAGGTTTATTACAGTCTCACAAGCTGTTTCTATTGTGTTTCTAATGTCTTCATTCTTTAATGAACAATTCTGCTTAAAACACAAGTGGAAGAAACACCTGATGTGTAAATATTTAGTATTTTATGTTAGAAATAGGCAGTTTCTGTTTACATGAAGGGTTTTCCCTGATACCATTAGTTTATTTCCATGTGATATTTTAGTCAGAATGCAGTTCATCTGAACACAAATGCAAGCTTTATTTATCCGTCAATGCAAAATGACACCATTTACCCATCCATCTGGAGACCTAACACTTTACTGAATCACTCAGAAAAACCCATTTTCACCCATTAAGCGTTAGAATTTGACACTGTTGTGTTGAATCAGATGTAAGTGGTTTCAGTTTAAAGTCCTTTTGTGTTTCACACGATAACACCAAGTACACGGTGGTCTTCATGGATGAACTTTTAAATGCAGCAATCGTTCTCTGATCTATTAAAGATGACCATGAGAGGTGCAAAGAAACCAGTTCCTCCCCCTCCCAGCTTTTATTTTACAAATTCTGCTATCTTTCCCACTCAGGCAGAGACGGAGTGTAATTCACCTCCAGCTGTGATAAAAATGGTGAAATCCTTATTGTGGTGTCTCCCGTTGTGTTCTTTTCTGTGAAACATTCAGTTTTATTTTTTCTCTCTGCAAGACAGTTTAGACATTTTACAGTTTGGGTTTACATAGGCAACCTTTCACCTGAGATGATGGCCTTAGGAGTGTCTTGGGATCCGAGTGTGATGGGAAAAGGGTTTGAGCCTGCACCAAACACCGGTGTGGTGGTTTATTATCGCTGTAGCAGCATCTCAGGCTCTCAGTGATGCCATCAGTATTGTGATGATCTTCTACAGTTCAGCTGCATCCAAGAGAGAGTTACCAGCATGAGGTCTGGATTAGGACTGTAGGTATAGCGAGTACGACTTTTTCATTTAAATCCAGTCTGAAAGCTCCTCCTTATTTATCGGCACTGCAAGAAAAATATGCTCCTACAAGATCGCTTTGTTCCATCGACAAGGATTTGTTGGTGGTCTCAAGGTCTAGGTGTAGGCGTATGGGCGACTGAGCATTTGTTGTTTAATCCCAAGAACTTGGAACAAACTTTTGGTGTTTTAAAGCTAGACTGAATTTTTTTAGATGTGTCTCTAGTGGGTTTTTATTTGATGTGATTTAGATGGTTTCTTTTTTAAAATTGTTTTTAAGGCTCGTTTGGCATCTATCTGATGGCAGGGTGTACATTTAATCAACTATTTTGTGCTTTTGTTGCTTTTTCGATCTGTCATATTTTCATATTTCTGTGTATCGTGTTCAGCCCTTTGGGCGTCCTTGACTGGTTCTAGATAAAGTGTCAAATGAATGAATGAAATAGAAATTAAAGAACTTGTTAGATATTTTTACTGTCAAAAACCTAGCAGGTGACATCACTTTATGTACAAACAACTGCATTTATTACATTTGAAAATAATGTTTAAAAAGCAGCCTTTTAGTTTGGATTTGAAATTCTGTGGACTATAAAATTAAAAGACTTTCAAAACAGTTTAAATAAAAAGCTTAAAAATGTCTTCTGTTCTGTTTGATAGAGTTGTGCGACAGCCCGCTGGTGTCCAACCTGCCGCCATCATCCTTCAGAAGCTCCTCCCAGCTGTCCAGCAGCCATGCACCGGGCTTCGCCAAACTCAACCGAAGAGACGGTGAGTAAACCTGATCTGATATGCACACTTACAGGATTAACGTACATTTGGAGAACTTACTGATTTTTTTTTTTTGCACAAAGCGTTTTAATACATCTGTGTCTCTGAGTTTGCTCGGCCCAGTCAGTTTCTGCAGAAAGCAGCAGCAGATTCTCTGAGCTGCATAGTTTTGTGCTTAAAGAGACAGTGGATCTGCTTCTTCTTCAAGTCAGTTTTACATTGAAATGCAACTAAAATCACACTAATTTGTAAACCTTGTAATTTTGATGTTTTTGTAAAATTATGGTATAACAAGAGCAGAGTATGGAGGATTACTGGTGTGACCTACTGGGACAAAATCAGCTGCATCATCCAAAAACTGATGTCTGGTTCTCCCCAGCCGCTCAAACTCAAACACAAACCAACCAAAGTAAAAAAAAAATAATGTTTCAAAGTTATTTCATCCTGGTTGTTTTGTTTGCTAAGACATTTCTTTCCACTCACACCTGCTTTGTCCTGCAGGTTAGAGCGGCCGTGTATGGTTCTGATTCTTTGGATTTAACAAGACACTAAGAGAATTAGACAAATTTGTCCATAATACAGCACAGGGCTTTATTTTAAAGTTTTATACAACTAAGTTGTTTGGGACAGCAAGATGCTGAGCCTTCGGCAGCATCTCCTCGGAAAAGCCCTTCTCCCATCAGAATGAGAAACCATTTGAACACTTTGCTGACGCCAGTCTTACATACCTCAGGAAACGGGTTTTTGATGCCTATTTCCAGCGGTCAATGGGCAATCATACATGGTACACCCTGGACAGAGAGCCAGTCCATCGCAGGGCTACACAGAGACACACAGGACAAACAATCATGCACACACACACACACACACACACACACACACACACACACACACACACACACACACACACACACACACACACACACACACACACACACACACACACACACACACACACACACACACACACACACACACACACACACACACACACACACACACACACACACACACCACTTAACCCAACAGTCATGTTTTTGGACTGTGGGAGGAAGCCAGAGTACCCGGAGAGAACCCACGCATGCACAGGGAGAACATGCAAACTCCATGCAGAAGGACCCCAGGCTGGGAAGCGAACCCAGGACTTTCTAGCTTCAAGGCAACAGCTCTAACCACTGCACCACTCCACAGCAGTATACCATATACATGAGCTATATATGTATATACTTAGTGACTGAGTAACTGCAGATCAACACTTGATGAGTACACAGACATGAAGTAAGTAAGCTGTAACTCAACTCAACTCAGCCTTTATTTATACAGCACCTTACAGTCATGAGCATGCCACCAAGGTGCTGTACAACAAAAGAGTAAAACATTGAAACATATAATGCTACAGACATAATTAAAACCACAAATGAGAATTACAAAATATAAAATATTAACAATTGCTAACCCACAGAATTAAAATCCAGATCATAAAAGCAGGTTTTCAGCTTCATTTAAAAAACTGCTATTGATGGAGAGTCCTTAATAGTTAGGGGCAGTGCGTTCCACAGTTTCGGACCCGCAACAGAGAACGCCCTTTCCCCTTTTAACTTTAACCTAGCCTTAGGAGCCACACGCAGCAGCTGGTTCTCAGAGCGGAGTGACCGGGCCAGAGCATATGGCTGCAGCAACTCAGCCAAATAGGCTGGAGCCACACCATTCAGCGCCTTAAACACCATTAAAAGAACTTTAAAACAAATCTAAAATGAACAGCTAACCAGTGGAGAGCAGCCAAAGTTCGTGTCACGTGTTCATGCTTTCTTTTGTAAGACTCAACTTGGATTGTGACGCCTTTAACCAACTCATCAATACATCAAAATGCACGTTCACACTGTAAGAAGGCAAAACCCTGTCCGCTGTTCTTAACAGGAAAAATTCCTCCTTGACCTCCTGGCCCAAACAGGACAATCACATAAAGCACAGAGTGAGCATACAAGGCTAGCTTAAGTATGTGGCAGACATTAGGCAACATTGAACAACAAAAGAACACATGAAAGAGAGAATGAACAAATTCAACCTTTCAACAGAGAATAAAACGTATAAGTATAATTGAGTATGATTACCCTTAGCAACAGTTCAACCAGCAACTGTATGTGAATATGCATTTAAAAATGTGAAATAGACTAAATAAATGAGTGACGTGGATATGACTAAATGACTGAGTGATGTGGATTTGGCTAAACCTACAGAAAACATAACAATGAGTGCAATGAATATACTTGATGTAATAACACAACTGCTCAACCAAAATAAAGAATGGAGTCAGAGTCCCAGTTGCAGAGTTGAAAAAATGGAGTGAAGAAAAACTAAAGAATCAAGTTCAGTTTCATTGATGGCTGCGGTAGGGGGTCTTGTTGCTGGAAGAGGAATTTGAGGCCGATTCCTTAGTCGAGTGCATGTAACAACATCAACAACATTCCTTACGAGACGCAAGGATTACTCCTCAGCCGTCTCATCAGCCGTATCGTTCTCCAGATACATTGGGAACTGTGCCAAGTCCATTGCAGCCATTTCCATTTGCACGTATTGAGATGAAGCAGCAAGGTTCATTTGAGCAGCCAGAGTTCGCTCCCACAGTCTGCTCACAACAGGTAGGATGCAGCATGCCAATAGAGAAATCAGAATTAGTACTACTATTGCACTAATTCCTATCTCTACAAAGATAGCTCCCCAATTACCCAATTTGAGGGCTAAGAGGTCTAAGGACCAGCTTTCCCTGCCTGCATTCTCCTTCAGCTCTACCTTTAAATGTTTCAACTTTCTCATGCCGTCAGTAAATGCACCATCGGGGGCCGTATTACTCGGAATGTAGGTGCAACATTGCCCACTTAAGTTTAAAAATTGACAGACTCCGCCCCTCTCGGCCATCAGCCAGTCCAAAGCCTGTCCGTGCTGCAAAGTCATTCTGGTCATGGCATGACGCAGTTCGCCGAGGAGGCCGAAGTTATTTGCTGTGTAATTTAAGATTCTTTGTTGATTAAAATAAACATAGTTGATCCATTTCACATTCTTATTTATTGTTATCCAAGGAAGAATTGACTCTACACCAGCCATTACCTCATCTCTTGCTTGAAACTCAACAGGAATACCTGTAGGCAAACCTATGGCATTCAAATGTACTTTATGATCAAACACATCATACCTCTTTGTCCTACGTCTATTGGTAGTCTCCAACTGGATTAGTTCACTCACACCTTCATGCAGAATAGTCACTGCAACTTTCATATGCACTAGCGTACACAACCCGACCCAAAAACTTGGCAAAACATTCATTAAAACATCACCACCACACATCCAGTAGCTGTCAGCCACTGTAATGTCTTGTTCACCTAGTGCAGGGGTCGGCAACCTGTTCCCATCAAAGAGCCATTATTACCCGTTTCCCACAGTAAAGAAAACACTGGGAGCCACAGCAGCCGCAGCGTTGTGGGCGGGGCCTACCCTCTGACATCTGAGAGCTGCTTTAACCGATCACAACAGGTGACAGCAGCCGGTACCGGTCGCTCGTGTACGTCAAAGTTATCTTTCATAAGACGATAATCAATAAAAAGATTTATATAAAATGGATCCAGAAGTTGTAGCTCGTCTCTGCCTACAATATTTTGATATTTTTCACCCTGTTGGTGGTTTTACTGAGCAGGTGCCACTTTTGTCATACGTTTCTTTTTAAAATATGTTTAGACTGTTCAGAATACAAATCCAGGCTCTGTCACCTTTGATTGTTGTAATTAAATTTTGTAGGTGGGGAAGGTCAGAAAAGGATCCGATCAATTTGTTTTCCCTCATTTACAGTGACGGAGATAACGGCGCAGTGCTCCTGGCTCTGGTGGAAATCAAGTTAAATTATATCTCTTTGCAACAATTTTCACAAGAAAACAGAACAGTTAAAAGCAGGGCTTGTGTTGTGTTGACCGAACAGTTCCCATATTTGGCTGTTTATTTTGATGGAGAAAGAATAGAAATAATTACCCCGACGCATGCAGACAAACTGACATTTTATTCATTATGCACATCGCAGATGTAGCTAAATCACTCAAGAAAAGATTTCCTTCTGAACATCTGAGCTGGACACTGCTCAGCGCAGCTCACTGTCAGTGCGTACATAAGGTGCACAACGAGCTGAAGATGTGGAGAGGAGCTTGGAGCGCGTCGCAGAACCAGAGCGCATGCGGGAAGATTCCTCCGACTGAAGCGAGCGTTTTCCAAACCCTGTCTCTCAGAGAGACTTGTCACTTATGTTGAGGGTCTGACCTCATGAGGAAATTACTATGCAGTGATTTTCTCCAAAATGACTGTGCTTAAATTGCTCTGAAAAGCAAATAATCACATCAGCGCCAAGAAACTTCATTTCCCATGATGCTTTGCACACGGAAGCATTGTGATGACGTCACCGCCTAGTACCAGAAACACGTTCTGCGCATGTGCGGGAAGCCGTGGAGCTTTTCCCGCGAACTAAGACCATAAATCTTCAGCAGAGACAAAGAAACCTTGTTCTTTTGCCCAGGATACCTGGCGGTAAGGACACGCTTGTCAACGCTCCGACTCCCTTGAGCACGCAGAAGCTCTAAGTGCCCAAGTTGAGCCCACGGAACTGCTGGAAACTAAACTGCAAGCCCATCAGATCTGCTCGTTTCTGCTCCCCTCCAGCTGATGTTTGAGGACACAGAACTGCGGAGGAAAGCAACAACTCCATCAAGCACGCTGTAAGTTATAACTCAGCACAGAAAGAAACTTTGCTGTCTCTGTCCAGCCCGTGGAGAAACACTCGTGAACGCCAAACAACGGAGAAAGCATCAAACCGACGGACGACGCCGAAAGCTGCGGAGAAACACGGAGAACCGTCAAATCAAAGAGGGAGGGACGCCTCGCTCTTCTGGTGATCAGCAACTCATCTCTTTCTCTCTCTCCTTCTTCTTCCGTTAACTCTATAGTCCAGAATAAGCAATAAAACC